ATTCAATTCTTTATTATTTGTGTGCTGTATCAACAGCCTGATGGCCAATTACAGATACAGCACAGAGATAAACTCACAAACACAGTAAAACATAAAAGGTAAAACAAGCAATATATAAAATACATTGATACGGAAAAAATACACAAAAAATTACTACTAACTACATTAGGATATTTGTAAAAATAACATGAATCAATTAAGTAAATTATACTATTATAAAATGTGAAGAAGTAATAAATATCATTTTCACAATACTGCCACCTTCAGGGAACCCTACAGTTAGGTGCGTGCATTAGCAGTTCTACGTTTTATTCCTTTAACAAAGTTGCATTCATGCTAGTGATTCTTGGAGTACATTGTGTCTGAACGAACCACTACACGAACTTTGAACCTATTTTAAAAGTTTGCGTCATTCTCTGTATGCAATATTGCGTCACCTGGCTGCCTACAACAGTTTCCGATTAATCCTTCTGCTAGTAATTCTATTAATAAACAACCAACTGACTCACCAGAACTTCGTCACAATTTAGCAGAGTGTTGCGGCCTGGGCTGTCTTGTTGGTAGCCCTGAATACATTTCATTTACTTCGATCTGAAAACATAAATAAAGACTTTGCTAGTTCATTTTCCTTGTGAACAGAAGCTACGGTCTGAAAACATAAATAAAGACTTTGCCAGTTCATTTTCCTTGTGAACAGAAGCTACAAACACCTCCATTTATGAGAATACTCTCATTCATGTTAAAATGTTCAATAGTTATCAACAATATATAAGGTTATTAGGTGCGTGAAATGAGGATAAGACAGTAGGAACGTGTAGCATGAATATGAGAGACTGAAAGTTTGTACAAAAATTTATTTGGAAAATCTACAGAAAAAGGTTTCCTGGTAGAAGTAGGCAGAGAGAATAGGCTGTAATAGGATTCAAGTCAGGGACAACTGGAAAACTTTTCATTTATTTATTTATTTATGCTTTATTTAACGACACTGTAAACAGCTTCGATTATATAGTGTTGAATGATAGGTTGATAGTTAATAACGAGGAAGGTGTTACGGCCGAATCTAAGATGCTATCCCGGCATTTTCCTGGAGACAGGAATATCACGAAAGCCCCCAGTCTGTTTACACTATCTCCGGAACTAGATTTGAGCCCTGGAACTATTGAAAACAAAGCACGACTTCTGACAAACCAACGAAATGTTCTGAACGGCTTTTGAGAATACAACAATAAAACTTATGATTCCATAAAACCCAGGGATTTTTAGATTACATAAACAACTAGCAGCTTTTCAGGGCACTACTCCATGAACCTGATTAATCAATTTCTCATGAAAATGTAATTCCACAAAATACAGATTATTCTTAATTATTTTTGCCCAGAAGAATCACGTCTAAGACACGGAAGTATTTATTATAATTTATTCAACTGGCTTTTAAACAGGGGGTCTTGACAGCAAAGACGAATATAAAAGTAATCCTACCCCGTCTCGTCGTAACAGCTGACCGACTGCAGCGGATTTTAGTTCAGACTGCCATTCTAAAAACAAATCGAAATGGAAGGAATATGATCACGATGTCTGTCTATTATAGTCGAACAAATGTCAGTGGTTATCTATGACAGAGGTATTAATAAAACGTGGAGTGGATTTCACAGAAATCGAGGGTTTTAACCCTGAAGGGAGGTATTCATACAAATAATAATTACCTATGATAAAATACAGATATCATTGCGATTAGCAACGTCAGTCATAACGAACTGTACGTAATTTATTCTTCTTGAAAGAAAACCCTGTTTTGAAGATAAACTTGTCCAAGAACTGTCGATCGTAATTCGGATTAATGTCTGGTTCTTGGAAATTCCAAACATGAATTACGCCTCGAAGTCATTAACAGGCTGCCACAGGTTTAAATAATTCCGTATTGCAGAAATGACGTTCAGCCGGTAGACTGGGAAAATGGAAGGGGATTTCGATTCGTATAAACTGTTACAATAAGGCGCCATTTTTCTTTGTGTTTAAGACAGAAATAAAGTTGAGCAGACAAGCACATTACAAAAACTTAGGATGAGAAAAGTTGGCAGTGTGTAAATTAATATTATTTCGCCCGTTAACTAAAAATGCGACCAATTATGACAGGTGACTGAGTTACGGACGTGGCCCTCCACGTAGGTTTTACTGTATATGGTATTTTGTCTTTGTAAAATTTTGTGCTGAGTCAGTAATTCCGTATTGTAGAAATGACGTTCAGCTGGTAGACGGGGAAAATGGAAGGGAATTTCTATTCGTATAAACTGTTACAATAAGGCGCCATTTTTCTTTGTGTTTAAGACAGAAATAAAGTTGAGCAGACAAACACAGTACAAACGTTTCTAGTTCAGACTGCCATTCTAAAATCAAATCGAAATGGAAGGAATGTGATCACTTGGTTCCTTTTGACAGAGGTATTAATAAAACGTGGGGTGGATTTCAGCTACCCACTCACTGAAATCGAGTGTTTTAACCCTGAAGGGAGGTATTCATACAAATAATAATTACCTATGATAAAATACAGATATCATTGCGATTAGCAACGTCAGTCATAACAAACTGTACGTAATTTATTCTTCTTGAAAGAAAACCCTGTTTTGAAGATAAACTTGTCCAAGAACTGTCGATCGTAATTCGGATTAATGTCTGGTTCTTGGAAATTCCAAACATGAATTACGCCTCGAAGTCATTAACAGGCTGCCACAGGTTTAAATAATTCCGTATTGTAGAAATGACGTTCAGCTGGTAGACGGGGAAAATGGAAGGGAATTTCTATTCGTATAAACTGTTACAATAAGGCGCCATTTTTCTTTGTGTTTAAGACAGAAATAAAGTTGAGCAGACAAACACAGTACAAAAACTTAGGATGAGAAAAGTTGGCAGTGTGTAAATTAATATTATTTCGCCCGTTAACTAAAAATGCGACCAATTATGACAGGTGACTGAGTTACGGACGTGGCCCTCCACGTAGGTTTTACTGTATATGGTATTTTGTCTTTGTAAAATTTTGTGCTGAGTCAGACTTAGGGACTTGTTCCGTTTCTAACCTACTGAACAATTACACGTGACCTCTGCACCCATTCGCACGGTCTACTTAGACTCATTAATTAAATGCTGGTCTTCACTGTTTAAAGCAGTCAGTGCACTATCCTGCAATCAGTTTCTAAATTACAATTTGTGTGCTATTAAACACAAATGTGTTCATACGTTAAAAAAAATTTACGTAAAGAATATTAATTTTAGAAGAAAGTTTACACAAATACAGCTGAAAATTCGCTGTTACATCTGTCTCCATCCTGAAAAGATTTTAGTATATCAGATAATTAAAGAATTCCGCCTTGTCATCAAAACCTAAGGATCATTACCGTGGTTGAGTCATTTAAATTCATATCACAACATCTAACAATATTTCTTTAAAATCTATCTTAATATTATCCTCATCAACGTCATGACAGTGGATTACTCCATCATATTTATCAACCAGACTTTTGTATGTAGATCCCATCTATCCTATGCGTGCTACATGCTCCGCCGTCCCAGATTCTTTACGGAGTATATATATTAGACCAGTGGTATTCAACCTTGGGTACGCGTACCCCTGGGGGTACGCGAAGACATCTTAGGGGGTACGTGAAATTTAAAAAAATATATTAGTTTATGATAAACACTGAATAATAAGTAATGTAATTTATTTAATTTATTTTAGATGTAGATTATATACTATGTATAACTTGAATTATACACCAACAACTTTGGGGGTACGAAGTTGAAGAGAAATTATATCTGGGGGTACGCGAACAAAAAGGGTTGAATACCACTGGGTTAGACGATCGTAGTGCAGATGTTTTTAGCCTATTGTTACGTCCTCTCGCTTAAGTCCAGTTGTTGGCCTTTGGTTCTACTCTTAGAAGATTATATTTGGCATTAAGTGATAAATCGGCCGAGGAAAGATTTTGCATCGGTTGATCGTACGAATCGGGTTGCGTGATGGCGTAGTGACTGAGGAAAAACACGACTTGTACTTGTCCATAAGGAGTTTTTCGTTTACACCCAAAGCATAAAAATGCAGTCCCCTGTATTTCAAGCCATTATATGAGCAAAGCGCCTTACTGGCAATTATGTCCGTCTGTCGGTTGCTTCTATAATTCTAGAATAATTTCTAACAAATATTTTATTCTTCTTTAAGTGTATGATTCCTCAGCCAAATTGCCGTCCGGCATACTGAGGGGCAATGCGAACCAGTTGGGTGATTTTGACCAGTGTCTCGCGTTGACCGCAGACGATCTCTCGTCCAACATCGAAGGCAAATATTGTCTGGCTTCGGTGGACGTGCAGTCAACTACAATGGACAGCGATGACACCGTCAGCTTAGAGCAGGCTGTTCACCTTGTACAGTCTTACGGATTAATCAGAAGCACTTACAACGACGTAAGTTTTAGGCAGAACGTAACCTTCTCGCCTAGGAGAAGGTTGAATCTTATTTGGTCTTAAGAATATCGATTGAATTTCTGGCTTGTCTTCGTACTTTACAGCTTTCGTAATGATACTAAGGGGTAATTTTTGTGTATCTGAGACATAAAGTATGGAATATGTTAAATATTTGATTATATCTAAGACATGAAGTATGGAATATGTTAAATATTTGATTGCTATAAATGTAACAATAATTTTAGACAAAATTAGCTTATGGTTGCATTCGAAAATTAATCTAAATTTGATAAAATTAGCATTATGAAAGTAATATGTACAGTCTACCACGTAAATAAGTATCATTTCTTGTCGTTCTGGTATTCAATGCAAAAACAGGATGTTAATTAAGAAAATGTTTCATACTTAAGTACTCAACTAACGCGGAATTTAAACGGTTGGCAATCCTGTTTCGTATCAATGAAGTTTGGAATCTGATATTTGGTTTGGTCGTTGACTACAAAAAGTAAAATGTTCTCTCTCTTTCATCATTTCAAGCAAAAGTTGGTATAGAAACAGAAAAATTGGTCCCGAATTCATCTTTCTTATGGCATCCTCCAAGTTTATACTATAATATAAACAATGCAGTTGAGAGAGCATTGTTAAACAGGAACACACGCAGATGAACTGTGAGAAATGCATACAAAATTTTCGTTCGAAAACCGTAAGGGGAGAGACCATTCTGAAAGACTTCGCTACAAAGAGTTATTTAATTATCCATCTACACCAAGGTCGCCTTTCTTACTGATGAATCTCTTCTCCTCGCTTTGTAAAATCATCGTCATCAGTGGTCCAAGACCCGAAAACAATGACATAACCATGTACCATATGCCCTTCTTCCAGCCAGGACACTTCATCCCACAGTTCACAACCATCAAGTGGGCGATGTGTGTTCCAGCCATCTGTTCGTCTGTAGACGTTGAGCAGACATTGGTACAAGCGCTCCAAGATTACAATGAAACGACCGGAGTCAGGTTTGATGTTCACGTAGACCCAGACATGTGTTACGTCAAAGAAGAGACGCGACACCCTCTGGGTACAGCTACCGTCTGCACGCTGTGAGTCTCGATCGAGCTACTACCCATTAATCCAAACATTTAAAATAGCTCCAAGTTGAGTCTATTATAAGATTACCAACGTAAGGTCAAAGTTGACGAGTACGAAAATTTTTACGCTGAACAATAATACACGTAAAATTTATCGAAGCACTATATTCTTAATCACAATGAAATATAACATTTATAAAACTTCTGTATACAGAAGAATTAAATGCGAAAACATCTCAAAAACTTCTGAAGCCAAATCCCTACCAAATACACCGACAGCCTAACTCCGCCATAACCCACCGTAGGTACCACACATTCAGCCAAACCACAACTTAATCACCACACTAACCTAACCTAATATCACTCATTCATAATATTAAATTATTGTGTTTATTTCAGGGCGTTCTTTGCAGTTGTGATCTGTTTAACAGCAATTGCTACGTTCAGAGATAGCAGACAGGGCACACAGCATCCACAAGAGCAAGGTACGAGAGTCTGAACTTAGTTTCCCTTTCAAATTAATCAACTGACCTTCGACAGCAAGTTAGAAGTAATAGCCATGTCACCTACGACATGACTCCCCGATGATGGCACCAGAAACTGTCTTCGAAACGCTGGAAATTCACTCTGTATTGGCATAGCTTACCACCGGAGAATATTTCACTGCATTCAGTGGCCGTGAAGCTTAAAATCTGATTTCTTTTTTCCTACGCAGGTCAGTTGGAGAGAGTTGTCATGGCCTTCTCGGTGCGAAAGAATGTCAACGAGTTGCTCGCCGATCTACCATCTGAGGGTGACATCAACTGCATCTACGGAGTTCGGGCTCTCTGTACCGTCCTGCTCTACCTCGCCCACAAAGTTATCACGTTTGCATTCAGCCCGTACTCCAACAGAGTTGTATTCACTGAGGTACCCGTAATATAAATATACAGGGTGATCCTGTTAATAGAGATCACAGACTTTCAGCAATAAATCCATTATGTATGCACGGATTATGATCAGATTTTGTGAGTACATACTTCAACTTTAGTAAATCTGTATATCCTGCGATAAACCGCTTAGAGCACTCAATACGGGAATAAACCCTTACATTAAACCGCGACAGCTTCCTTCCACTTCCAAATTTATTATTTGTTGTTTTAATTAGAAGCTATTTTATCTGAGTTACTCAAGCAGTCATTAAATAAGCCAAGAATTAATAATTAGAGACATAAATAAGAGAAAAGTTCATGTTTTAAATTGAATAAGACGTCTTCTTATTCATGTAGGTTACTAATAAATCCTGGGGAACAGTTTTTCGAGCGTCGCTGGTCTACACCGACTCCTTCCTGTTCTTGAGCGGGGTCCTGACGTCTTTCAACATGAGCAAGGAGATGGAGAGGAAGAAACACATAAACTGGACCAAGAAGTACTTGGCGAGATTCATTAGGTGAGTCCATCTGTACGCTTATTACTTTGCATCGCAGAATAAAACTTTCCAAATGCGTCCATTTTGATTCTTCGTGTTTATTTATTACAAGTGCATGTAAGTCGTATATGAAATAGCGAAGAGAATTTACAATTAATAATCGCGTGTGTTTTCTTATTATATTTAATTAAATATTTACCATATCGAAGAAAAGTATTTCAGACAGAAGTTGTAGGTAGTCGTTGAGAAAATTCCTGTATAATTTTGAATTTAATCTATTTAGTTTGT